CACAATAATAAATATGCACACTGATGGAGCAGAATAAAATCTATAGGAATAGTGCAGGCCTTTACAGCTGTTCTCCTTAGCTTATAGCAATGGATTTTCTTTTTCCCAAAGGATTTCAGAGTGAATGCAAACACTGTATAAGCTTCACTTCATTTTCTATGATTTTTTTTTTTTTTTTTTTTTTTTGTAGAATGTACACAGTTCTGAAATCAAAGGACACAAATGCAGGCAAAATACCCTGGAATGGGAGATAGCATGATTCTGGAATATGAGGTGCTCTTCTGAGTTATTTTGGGTAAATCCATTAGAAACACTCACCTAGGAAGTAGCAAATGGAGAAGTAGGCTAAAAATATCTATATTTACCACTTCTCAAGTATTTTTATACCCTCTGAGGTGCTCTGTAATTTTGATAGGTGCTGAGTTTTGTCCTTTCTCTAGAAAGTCTAATTTATACCTGATTGGTGATGGTTATACTTTCAGAGTCTGGAAGTGCCTGAAGTTTTAAGAATCATGCAGTACATTTATTCACACAATGTGTATGTTCTGATTATAATAATGCAGTAACAATTCCATTTTAATGCAAAAATGTGTTGGATTCTAAGAAATTCCTAAAAATGCTGACAAACATTCAGTAAAATATGAATATAATACATTTATAAACAGTATGCAAGGCAATTTCACTTGCAAATAGAACTTGTACTTCATTAATACTTTGGGGATCAAGTTACATCCTTGCTCTTCTTGTTTAACAAGAACATCTCTCAGGACTATGTGATATCTGTCCTTCTGTCTTTCTGCTTTTGGACGAGATTTCTTATTGCTGAAGTGTAAGGAAAACAACTGTTTTTAACTGTTACACTGATCAATATCCAGTATGAATTTTTCCAAACATACTGCATCGTGACATTATTAAATCAGTAACTTTACTGTTTTTAAACAATGCAGTAAGACTTTGCAAGGCAAATCACTTTACAAGAGGATTTGATTAGCAAAGGGAAAATAACTAACTTTAAGATGGAGTTTCCACATCTTCCAAGGCATGGTTATTTGACATGTGATCTACTGAACTCAAAAACTCTGCTATACCCTCCAGCTCTTTATTTCTAATTCTTTAGTGTTAAAGGTAGAGCCATCCGTTTGACAGAGTGTAGCTGAGATTCCTGAAGTGCTTCATTAACACAATCTGTCCAGGCCACGTAACCAAGGTTCTTACCTCTGCAGCAGAGATGTCTGAGCAGGACGCACGGCTGCCTGGGCCCTTGCTTCATGGTGCAGCATCCTGCAGACATAAGACAGAGTTTTACAGATCTAATGACTGTGATACAGATGTAAAAAGAACAGTATGTAAGAAACATCCCAGAACTTCCATTCTCTGGAAATTCTCCATCCTTCTTACGTGTTGCAAGACCATCTTAGAGAAGAAACATAGCAGTTTTTGACAGTCAAGATTCCTAAGTCTGCATTTCGTAGATGTTTTAAAGCTTCTCAGTAACCTTCATTTCTATCTGTTGAAAGCAGTCACACACATGTAAGAGTGAAAGCAGAGCCTGGAGGCTGAAAGCCAGAAAGGTTTGATGTGTATGCAGTCACTGGAGCTCCTTAAGCAGACATCCTGTAAGTTAAGAGTTGGTAGAAATACGAAACTGTGTGGCATGATTGCTCTCCATTTGAAAGTTTCACAGTAATACATGCTGAGATGAACACTTTAAGAACTTCTTCTTTTCTGATCTACAAGTGGCTTGAAACAATGATTTTTCACAGCTTCACCACCGTGCTGTGGTGTGCTGAAACACGCAGGTTTAGAATGACAGAACAGCCTGCAAAAACAGGTGTCCTGGTGACACACCAAGTATGACAGACAAGCTAGTTTTGTCATTGTGTTTAAAACAACTGAAAAAACATACAAAGTAGTGAATTTTCCTAAAGATTTATCTAATTTGGCACGCTCTCTATAAAGGGGTTAATATAAAAATGATTGAGAAAAAGCTAGAAGACATTTTGCAACTATTTGTGAACTATGGAGCAACCTGTTTAGAGGAGAAGGTTTTCTTTAGATCTAAATCAAGCTTCTTAGGGAAAACTACTATTTTTGCTTCAGTAGGCCTAGTCCTAGCATGTATGGAAGCTCCTATGAGAAGACTCACTATTTTGTGAACTTGTGAGTTACATTTCCCATCTATTTTGGATATTTCAATTTGCTGTATTCATTAAAAAACAGATTTCTTTGGCTGATTACGTATATTTGGTCATCAATGTATTACCAGCTAATTTTATCTATTTTTTAAATTATTATTTTTAGAGGTAAAAAATACTGCTTGTAGCTAAAGTAACACCAAAGAGAAATTCACACATTCAATAAAACTGATAAGTATTTGAAACTTTTTTTCACTTTGAATCATATGTAATGCATACACAGTAGTATCCAGGACAAGGCTGTCTGAAGACAACAGAATGAAACATTGTGCTGTGCAATGTTTATCTTCTGGAACTTAAAAATGAAGAACTGATCGGTCTGGTCAGATTTACAGGAAAAAAAAAAAAAAAACCAACCACATAACCAAATAAAAAATTCACCCTGTGTCAAACAACCCTCCACCCTGTAACCATTTCCAATCATCACAAGCTCTCCTCGTACCAGTAGCAGAACTGTGTTATCAATCAAAGTTTTCGTGAAGATGAGACATAATTAAATCACTGGGTCAGAAGCAGGAACCACTGCAACAGCTGTGTTTTTACAAAAGGATAGGTGTGGTGACAGAATGAGTTGTCACTCAGCATGTATAATCCCATCTGGCCTTTCACAATTCCTTACCCAAATTGCACAGATTTAAGGAGCTGGCATAGTACAAACCTGGGGACAAGAGATTCCGTTCAGCTCTCATATGACAGAGAATGAATAAAAAGTGCAGTGCAAAAATCACTAGATTTCTAGGATAGGATATGACCTGAATATGTATTTTAATTAAAAAAGGAGAAAACACTTAGGCACTCAAATTGTGCTGTTATAGAAGCATATAAGAGAATTATAAAAAAGAATAGTAGTATTTGTAGGATAAAGGATGTGCAACGGGGAAAGAAATACATTGTTTTATTATGTTATAATTAATAATATTTCCATGTCACCACTCAAAGGCAGAAAATGTGATTTACTCTTAATTATGAACTTCAGAACTCCACTGTTGTTCATTATACAGATTTCTCTTGGATCACACAGCATTACCTGAAATTTCCACCAATTCTCCTAGGATGCATGAATCTTTCTTGGTGAGACAAAGCCTTTTAAAGAATCCTTTATGTATTATACCTCTTTTGTTTTTTTTTTTTAACTTACATATAGCAGGGCTGAGTATAACTGTTTTTTAAATCTCTAGAATACTTTGAAAGCATCTGTAACTTCTCGTTTCAGTTAAATTCAATCCATATTTTGCAGAATGCTAAACCAGTCTCTAGCCAGGAACATTTATATACATAAAACTTGTGGAACCTCTGGTATGCAGGTTGTAAGGGGCTAATTCCTGGCCATGATGTGCATGCATGTGTATTATTTGTGGGGATGTATTAGAAGTTATATTCCTGTGGTGATGCTGTGATAGAACAGCATCAATTTGGGGCTATAGTTGGAGAGCCCTTTGTTCTAATTTCAGTCTTTTTCTTCTTTTGTAGATCTCAGGGCAAAAAAACCTAAAGCCTTTGCTCAGCACATGGCATATTTAAGCATTTGATTATTATAAAACAAAGGCTTAACCACACCAGGATCGGACAGTTATTCGTAACAGACACTCTGAATAACAGCTCACCCACTTCCTTACAGTTTAATTGACAAACCTCTTACTAATTACAGGTAATCACACCCGCCTTCCCCAAAAACACGATGGCAAGTAGAAGTTCAAATTTGCTCAGGTAGCAAGGCTATCTCCTCACTGCTCGACTTAAGAAAGTATAACCAAATATGGGGGGGAAAAAAAGATCTAGATGTGCTGATAGGAAAACAAAAAATGATGCAATGTGTACTTACTTTCCATCAATAAGTAATGAAGTTTAAATATGTGAGTGCTGTTGTGATTCCATCTTATGAACATCTTTCCTGCCTAGGCTGGGGGAAGTCTGGTCTGTAAAACAGAAATCGGATTTTTTTGGCTTTGTTTTTCCTTTTTTTTTTTTTTTGACTTGCTCTTTTCTGCAATGCCTTCCAGAGATGGGTGTTTGTGGGAGGAATATGAAAATGGGGGATGAAACAAACCCTGAGGATTTCAGCCGTGCAAAAAAAAAACCTTTGTGATATGAATTCATAAATAACAGATAATAAAAAACAGGAAGTTGTAAGCCGTGTTGTACCACATACTGAAATCTCTGAGGGAAATACTGTGACACAACGGGGGTTCGTTCCTTCCCAGGCACCTTTCCGAGCCCCTTCCCCTGCCGTTACCCCTCACAACCGCCAATTCTTACATTTAATCCCCTTTCAACCGAAGTAAAACGGTATCTGCCGTTCCTCCAAACCCTGCTCTCACCGCTTAAAACAAAAAACAGCGCTGTTTTTGCTCCGTTTTCCCGCCGTTTACACGCGCGGTTTGCCTCAGGCCGGCTCCCAAACGCGGTGCCGTGAGGGGCGGCCTGGGCGCGGCAGCATGGCGCGGCGGGGCAGAAAGCGAAACCCGCCCGCGCCCTTTGTTCGCGCTGCGGGGAGGAACCAGAGCGAGGCGGGCGGGAGGAGGCCGGCAGTCGTTCGAATCTCCCCTTCCTGTCAGCAGAGCCTTCCGCGCGGCCGCCGCCCGCCGTTTGAGCGCGGGCCGCCTGAGCGGCTGAGCGCGGCGTCGCGCTCCTGAGGGGCGCAGCGCGCCTTTCCCGCCCGAGCAGCAGCGGCGGCCGCCGTCGAGGCAGCGAGGCCCGAGGCGCTGCGCTTCGCCGTCGGCGGCGGCGCCACCGCCCGTGGGGGGAGCGGAGCGGGGCGGGGCGGGGCCGGGGGCTGGCAGCGGGGCGGAGCGGGGAGCCGAGCCGAGCCGGGGTTTCCCGGCCGGGCAGTCACGGGCGGGGCGGAGGGGGGGGAGGTTAACCGCGCCCAGGCTCTCGCTTCCCGATGGCTGCGGGGAGCTGAGCGGGGCCTGAGTGTACGAGGAGGAGCCGAGACCCGCTGGCACCCCCGCCCCGCTCCGTCGCTCCTTCCGAGTCTACGCCCCGGCCCGAGCCGCTGCCTCAGGAGCGCAGCGCGGGCGGCTTCCCCCTCCCCTCCGCCGCCGCCGCCCCTTCCCCTCCTCAGGCCGGCGGGGACGCGGGCAGGAGCCGCGGGCGACGGCCGGAGCGGCCCTGTTGATGAGCAGCGGCCGGAAGGGCAGGTAACCGTCTGAGGGGGCAGAGAGGGCGGCGGGCGGGGCGGCGCGGCCGCACAGAAGCCTTTTGGCGTCCCTCTCTCCCCCGCGGGGCTCGCCGAGCCCCCCGTCCTCAGCGCGGCCCCACCCTGAGGCCATCTTCCCTCAGCGCTCCCCTCCATCCCTGGTTCCTTCTTCCTCTGCGTGGCTGCGCCCTTCCACCCCGCTCCCCTCCCCCCGTTCTTCCCCATTGCTGCCGCACTTCTCTTTTCCCTCCTTCCTCCCGTTTTCCGCCTCTCTCTCGCCTCTCCTCCTCGCCCCTCTCCGCCGTCTCCTCAGCCCTGGGCGGGAAGGGCGGCGCGGCGCCCTCAGCATGGCGGGCTGGAACGACCCCCCCCCCCACCGCCCTTCGAGCCTCCCCTAAAAAAGAAGCGTGTTTGGAACCGGGAGAGGAGGAGGGGGGGGAGAGGAGGGAGAAGAAAAAAAAAAAAAAAGGAAAAAAAAAAAAAAAAGAAGGTGGGGGTGGCACCAAGGGAGGGGAGCTTGGGATTTTTGCGGGGTTCCATTTTTAATGATCGTTAGGGCCGTAGCGCCTTGTGTTAAAGGGGCTGGGGGTGCGGAACGGTGAGTTTCCAGAGGAATCGAACCGGAGGGAGGAACGCTGGGAGAGAGAGTGAAGAGAAAAGGAGCTGTGGTGTGTGGCTGCTGTAATGGTGGAAAGCTGACGGAGAGAGGAGGGTGAGGCACACGAGGGGTGAGACGGCTCCAGCCCTGCGTGTGGGGTCCTTTGAGGGGGGGGGAGAGGGAGGAGGACGGTCAGAAAACGTTTTGTTCCCGTTAAAATGGGAACGAGGATGCGTTTTGTTGGCACATCCTCGTCCCCAAATCGCTCTGCATATCGCTGTGCCCGTAGCAGCCGTCAGGAAGATCATGGAGGGTGTTTCCTGCGAGAGGAAAAAGGAGCTTTTTCTCCTTGAAGATGTTAAGAACGCCGTTTCTGCTCCCCGGTTTATTAATTATTGAGGTGGTTTTGGTTCTGATTTATTTCGTCGTCTTTTTAACCCATCGAACGGGGTTTTTGAATGGGAGGATTGTTATTTCTACAGCTTTGTGTGAAATTCTCCTAATGGTGTGAAGTACATTAAAAAAAAAAAAAAAGCCGTTTTAATTAAAGAAATAATCTTGTCCAGAAGGAAATCAGAACGATATAAAAGATGTCAATTTATTATTCCCGAAGGAAATCTGGAATATTAACAAATGTGATGTTTCTTATTATTCTCCAGTCAGAGGTAGGACTGGTTTAAAATAAGGCATCCTTATGCCACGTTATTATGCATTGTCCCCACAGCAGAAAATAGGAGGAAAGGATTGAATGTGAGGGGTCCTGGGGACAGCTCTGGGGAATTGGTGGCTCAGCTGGGAGAGGCGATGGAAAAGCGAAAAATTAAAGGTTTTGCTGCCCCTAATCGTGAGACTTATCCCGTATTTTAAGCTGATCTGCCAGCCACAAGGATGTGTGCATCGAGACAAAACGCTGCCGATGTGTGTGAAATGCATGCAGAAAACGCAGACGCTCTTCAGCTCTCAATTTGTTTGAAATGTGACATCTTAAAGGACTTTCCCCCCCTGCGTGCTTTAGGAGAGGAGAAAGAGAAGGGGCGATAATAGTGTGGCTGTTTTGGTGGCTGCCGATTAACCAGGGTGTGTGTTTGATTTTCTTTTCGCTGTGAATGAATGGATCTTTCTGTGCCTGGGCCCAGTAGCTGCAACAAGATGGCGTTTGCAGCAAGGCAGCTCTCATTTTTCAACTCCTCCTCACCACAGCTTGGCCAAACTCGATCTTATTTCGTAATTGTATTTAGATTTACTTTCTCATTCGGTTTGCTTGCTTCTTTTTTTTTTGAGGGGTGGGGGGTAGGAGAAGCATTTGGGAGATTATTGCAAGAAATCGGTGGGGTTTTGTTTTATTTTTTTTTTCATTTTTGTGAGCTTTTCCAGATAGGAACTGGGTGGGAGGAGTGAATAGTTTTAGTGAAATGTTCACATCGGCTGTTCCTGGACAAAGAGGTGACACAATTTTGAGGTTTTTGTTGTCTTGTTGTGTTTGTTTTTTTGTTTGTTTGTTTTTAACCTTGCAGTGCCAGCTTAGTACCATCAAAATGTTCTTTGTTTTTCTTAAGCCTGTTGCTGAAAAATGGTATTTTAAACCTAGAAGACAAGTATGCAAAGGCTTTCCTGCCAGGGCAGTGTGCTGCTGCTGAGTCCTGCTGGCCAGGTAACAACCAGGTCTCCTGCAGGCGGTTCCCTTCACGTAACGTAGAAATCTCCCATCTCACTCAGTGCTCGTGGTGGGCGGAGGCTTTTTAAGCTGTTTTTGGCCCCAAATTGTTGCCATACTTCTGTATGCAGGTTCTTATTTTTATGCGTTAAGAGTAAGAAAGGCTTTAGAGATACTAAAACAATTCTGTGTCTCTGAGATACTATATTATAAGGTATTATAGAGATTTATGAAATTATGGTTTTGAATTTTTTTTTTAAGGACTTTCAGTTGATAATTTTGGTGAGATTTCAACATGCTTCCAAGCTTCTTAACTTTGGTAACCTAAATAAAATAGCTTGGTTAGTATTTGGTATAGAATCCTAGAATGGCCTGGGCTGAAAAGGACCACAATGATCATCTAGTTTCAACCCCCTGCTATGTGTGGGGTTGCCAGGCTGCCCAGAGAGTAAATATACTGGGCTCAGACTTAAAATAATACAGAATCCAGTAGGAAAAATGAAGAAATGTCTCTTTTGTCTCCTGGATTCAGATGACCTCCGAACCCTTGGTAACATCAAGCTTTCTAGTAGTGTTTATCTTTGACTTCATATATGAACCAGTGCTTTATTACTTTACTGTAACAGCCGTAGCCCTGCTGTTCTTCATACAGAAAGGAGAAGGCCCACTTTGCAGCTGGGGGTGGTGTGGTTGGTTCCTTTGTGGTGGTGTTTGTTTGAGGGGGAATAATGAAAGGTGAAATCATCCAAATGCATATTGCTCCTGTGGTGTGTCAGGAATTAAATATTAAAATGAATGCTTCTCCAATAAACTGGTAGTTCCATTGATTGATACTTCTAATGTGCTGATGTACTTGAAATTAACTGTCTGGTTTTTTTTTTTGGTAGTAGTACTTTGGCCTTTTAGCATGGGATTGGAAAGAGTAGAAGGAAGTGAGATCTCATCTTAGGATAAATTGCATGTATGCAAGTCTGGTCCTTGCACAGCTGCTAAGTCAGTACATAGCAGGCATCCTGCCATGACATTGCTGACAATGTGTAAATCCAGAATTCCACAGTAAATCCCAGGAGATGGAAATCTGAAAATGTTGTATTTAGACTTAATGAGAATTTATTGTAAGTAACAAATACAATTTAATCTTAGGTTAATGAAGAAGTAATGTAGAACTTTGTGTAGCTGTATTCTTAATATCATCCAAGAATGAGCATTCTACAGCTATTAAAACTTGAAACTGGAACAATTAAAACTAATATCTTGAGAATAAGAAAATTTTTCAATTAATGCAATAAATTCTGAGATCGTTTAATTATAGTAGCTATATATATTTCTTGTGTTTTTAGGATGCTTTTTTTTGAAATGAAGCAGGCTGATGTCAGCTGCAGTACGTCATACCAGGAAGTCGTGGTGCTTGGAGGCTTCGGTTTGGTCATGTGGGAAACAACTGTGTTAACTGTTTCTTTTTAGGAGTTGTGGTTTCTCAATCACAGTGTGAAATGAGATACAGTTCATATGGAACTGGTGCTGCTTTTGCAGATTCTTATGCCCATGCTTTAGTTAGGAATACTAAGAAAGCATTGCATTTATTTAGTTCTGTAGTTGCTACGGTAGAAAAGTGGAGCTCCTTGCTGCCTGGGAGAACGGCAGTAGATTTGTCTCCTGTATGTCAGGCTTGGCTCGTGTTGTAGTCACTGAATTGGATTAAATTCTTACTGTCCGTGGATTTTGGCTCTCAGCATTAGTGGATTGGTAATTGATATTCTCAATTTTAATATCCACTTTTAGCCATATGGCATACCGTATTGTTTCAAGAAGTCCATTTAGCGCTGGTTTGTTACCACTAAGTTGAAAAGAGAAATCCTGCTTTCAAGTGGTTGAATTATGCTTTGGCAAATCTTCTTTGGAGTCTCTAATGCCTATGTTCGTGGCAGTATGTAGGGTATTTTTTTTTACAGTGTTTTACTGCTTGTGTTGGGGAAAAAATCCATAACCTCGAGTGAGATTTTAAATGTTAGATATGATTGAAAATAAGATGGAATTTTTTAAGGGGTCTCTTGATTGCTCAAAGTGCTGTCTCAGAATGAAAAGAATGCATTGTACATTCAAAATGTCTTTTTCTTCCCACTGCTAATGTTGTAGTTTGTATTTGTCAAGGTCACCATAAAAAACAAAAATACCCCCAAGCCCCTGTTTTTCTATTTAGCATAGAATCTCGATGCATTATTTCTTCCCAGAGTGTCTAGTGTGCTAGGGGTTTGTGTGCCTGGATTTGTTTCTCACCAAACAGAAACGTACACAGAATCCATAGACAACTGAGCCAACTAGTAGTTCAGCAGAATGTTAAGAGGCTTTTAAAAGCACTGAGTTGACTGCTAGCAGCACCTTTCCTTGAAATGCTAAAATCAACATGAGTTACTGAGTAAGGCTTCTTAGGACAAAAATGTCAACGTTCCAGAATAGTTTTTCTAGCAGATTATCACATTCTTAGTGAAGCACCAGAAGACTTCAATCATCTCTTGATGCTGAAGCCTTGTAAGAAAGTCACACATTATTAAAAAAAAAAAAAAAAAACTTTTGAAGGGAACTTTAAGATCAGATATTTTATTGATCTGTTTTCTTAACAGTCGGCCTATTAAGTTTTGTTCTTTACAATGAATAACTTGTGCATCTATTTATTTGTATTGAATGTATTTATCTATTAGGTTTATTCAAGAGGCATAGCATGTGCTGTGATAAGTCAGTTCCTTGAAAT